ATTTTTAGTAGAGACAGGGTCTCACTCTTGCTCAGGCTGGTTTCGAACTCCTGACCTCGAGCGATCCTCCCGCCTCGGCCTCCCAGAGAGCTAGGATTACAGGCGTGAGCCACCGCACCAGGCCAATGGCTGATCTTCTTAGAAGAGGGCAATTTGGCCAGGGACACGCAGGGAGAATACTACGTGAAGGTGGAGACAGCGATTGGAGTGACGCATGTACAAGCCAAGGAACTCCAAGAACCGCTGGCAACCGCCAGAAGCTATAAGAGGCAAGGCAGGATGCCTCCCCCAGAGCCTTTAGAGACAGCGTGGCCCTACTGACACCTTGTTTCAGGTATCTAGCCTCAAGAACCATGGGAGAGTAGATTTCTGTTGTTGTAAGCCGCCCGGTTTGTGGTGCTTGTTAGAGCAGCCTCAGGAAGCCAATTCAGTCTGGGGAAACAGCTGGGCAGGGCTGGGCTGAATCGAGGAGGAGACGGAAGTCACACAAATGAATGCACCCAGGCAAGTTCTGTGGGTTGGGCCTATGGTGACGCCCTCCTGCACAGGGTGGCCCTTCACCTACTCTGCTCCATCCCATGCTCGTAGGTAAGTGACAGCGTGGGAGGGGAGGAGCACTGGAGTGGGAGCAACCTGGGTAGGAATCCCTAGTCTGCTGCTTGCTGTAACAGTTGTCAAGTGCACCTTAGACCACAAAATCCTGGGGTCTCGGTGTCCTCATCCACAGAATACAGCCTTCCTCAGAGGGCCATTGTGAGAACCCCTGTGGCTGCCTGTCAAAGCTCTGTCACGTTCATTTCTTTGCCTCTGCTTTATTAAGTCTTTGAACCACTGCTGGGAGTGGGGAAGAAAACTAACATTTCAAACACCTCCCAACAGGGAGAGAGGGGCCCTAGAGTCATTAAATACTGGTGCTGGGAGGGGCCCTCAGGGCATTTTAGAGATGAGAGCACTGGTCACGTTGTGTGTGGTCCACACTCACCAGACTGTGTTGGTACCCGGAGACCCTTAAGTGACTATGGGTGAAGTGACTTGGGAAGACCTCATAGAGAAATGACACTTGGTCTCATGGTGGGAACAAAGTCACCATTTGACACAATTTAATGGGCTTGACCCACCTTATTACTTTGCCCAGACCATAGTCCGACTGTTCCATTCCTGGCTCAGTCTCTCTCAAAAAGGGTTTACTAGGCCACCTTCCCTGAGAGACCTTCATGGGGTTTAAAGTCTGAGTTTGAATAAAAGTTACTCAAAAGTAGGTGCTCACACATGGAAGTAACATTCACAGGGCATTGGGCAGGTGAGGGGGGAGGAGGGGATAGGTAAATTCACACCTTAGAGGTGCCGCGTGCACCGTGTGGGGGATGAGCATGCTTGTAGCTTTGACTCGGGGCAGTGCAAAGGCAATTTATGGGACCAAAGCATTTGTACCCCGTAATATTCTAAAATATTTTTAAAAAATAGGTGCCCATAATTCATGAAGTGTTTTCAATTGTATAATTGATTCTACATCATAAGATCAAAAGAAGGGTCATTTTAATAAAGGATATTTAATCCAAAGTCAACTCATACTTGGAGTAGATGGAAAAAACCGTCTCTACTGCAAAGAGAAAAGAGGCAAGAAAAATAAAGAGTGGCTATAATGATGCCATTTTTTATCCCCACCTGTGGCCTTTTTCACTCACCCTATTTTATTGCTCTCTGGAGCACTTATTACTATTTGAAATATTATATTGACTTGTTTATTTGTTCAGTTAGGACCCATCTCTACTCACTAGAATGTTCCACAAGGGCTCAGATCTGGTCTGTTTTATTCATTGGTGTCTAGAACTGATCAGTTTTGTTCGCTGATGCTCAGTGCCTAGAACATTTCCTGCTGCATAATTGGCTCAGAATACATATTTGTTGAATAAATGACTGAATAAATTAGCAAATAAGTCTGGGCAGGAAGAGGAGCAGTCACATGACATGGATAAGGAAGTAGAATATTGGGCCACCTTTTTCCTACAAAATCTGCCCCTAAGTCCACGAGCCCTATGTCGGCCAGCCATGAAGACCATGTCTCTCACTTCTCTGCTCTGAATCCATTGTCACCAAGCAAGCTTTGATTTAGATTTATCTATGTGCTTTCTCCTCCAGGTGGGAATACAGGGATTACAATTCTGGTTCACTTGGTATGATATTTTTCACTGTAAATTAACAGGTTGGCATTTCATTTTTTAAAATTAGTTCACATTTCAAAAGAATTCTGAGGAACAGAAGGTCAACCAGGATGGAAACCTGTGTGGAAGAGAGCTAAGAATGTACACAGAGGAGACTTGAGTTCTAGATCTTGCTCTGCTTTTGACTCACCTGTGTGTCCTTAAAAAAATCACTTCTCCAGGGTTCAGGTCCCCTATAGAGGCACTGACCTTGATAATTTCTGATAACTTTCTGTCCTCCCCACCTTAATCCGTGTTCTCATCCCTTCGTGCCTAAACTCCCAGAGAATCTTTCTCCCTGGCCTCCCTGTCTCTAATCTTTCCCAGCTTCTGAGTCCCTCCCATCTTTCAAAGCTAGAATTCTAAAAAATTTTTAATAAAGTAAGCTCTTCCATGTATTTTGACTTCGTAAGAGAGGTAATTGCCAACGGCTATCGCACTGCATAGCTATTGGCAATCTTGTATGGTTCACTGGGGTCATGGGGTCAGTACTTTTCCTGGGGTCATTTTTCAACATCATGAAAAGTCAGATGGTGTCCTCATCAAAAACTTAAAAAATGCCAGAGGAGGCACTCCCCGGGGAAAGTGGAGACCACACAGCAACTCTTCAACATTTAAAACGGTACAGTCCTGTGGGTGTGGGGAGGGGACAAGAGGTACAGGAGGAAGGAAAGGCAAGGTCAAGGGTAGAGAATGTGCAGGTAAGGGGGAAGGCGAGTGCAGAGAGCACAGGATAGGAGAGTCACGTGTTTCCCCACGAGGGCCTGGCACACACCTGTGCTTGGCACATGAGAATGTGCCCATGAACTTGGAGTCGATATATGAAAGTATTTCCATTCTGAGCCACTTCACTACGAGGAAGAGCAAGAGCTGAGTGTCCCATATATTTATCTCCTTTAGAGGTTTTTATTATCCATTTGCCAAGGCTGTCCCAAGCCTGCTTTCTCTGTAATCCTTCCAGCATTTATTATTAGGCCTTCCTTGAGATCCTCATTTTGTGGTTGTGATACAGTTATTGGGCCAGCTCTCGAGTTTATACCTTCAGATCAGACTTTTCACCTGAGCACTAATCTTATACGACTGCACGCATACATGTTAGCATGCTGTAGATAGCGTTACTTTAACATGTCAAAAGAGAGCTTAAAGTGGGTCCCCTTCCTAACTCATTCTGTTTCTGCCATTGGCATCACTAATGTCATTCTGAGACTTTAATTTGGATGTCATATTTCACTCTTCTTCAATAATCATCTACAACCTCCATACAAAAAAAAACAAACAAAAACTCATCAATCTACCCACTGCTCAATAAATGTTCACTATTCTATTATTTGTTCTGTGATCTGAAATGATCTAATCAGTCACCCGAGGTGACTGAGGCTTCTCCCCCCCTCTCTTGAATTCATCTCCTTCCTGTCCTCCCCACCTTAATCCGTGTTCTCACCCCCTCATGCCTAAACTCCCAGAGTTATCTTTCTCTCTGGCCACCCCTGCCCCCAGTCTCTAATCTTTCCCAGCTTCAATCCACGGCAAACAAGTCAACAGATTGATCTTTTCAAAACCACTTTCATCAACTCACAGTTTGCCTACCAACCCAGGAGGGGTCTCATTTACCAATCAGGGTGTTTACAACCTCCTCCTTTATTTAGCGTTTGAGAGCTTCAGTCAGCTGCTCCCTCGTCCCCAAGCTACCCACGCTATGTGTGTGTCTTTATTCCACTCGTGCTTGTTTGCGCGTTAACCGTGTGCCAGCCCCTGCCACTGTCACGCACTGTCCTCCAGCAGTCCCCTTCCCCTTCGGTTCTGCCCAGCCTGTGCAGGGCTCCTCTGATAGCCACCACAGCGTTCTTGCCCTGCCAGGACTCTCCTCCTTTCCACCAAGACCCGATATTTCTTCCAAGATGCACCTTCTCCTGCAGGTTCCCCACACGAATGAATAATCCCAGACCACACACAAAAAAAGGTTCCCCTTTTTCTGAATTCCATCAGCATTCTCACACTAGATATCTATTGCTAAGTATTGTTCTCTTATTATTTAACATGCATTTGTTGGTCTTCCCGATTGAAATTCTAGCTCCAAAAGGGCAAGGGCCAAAATCCTCTTTCGCCCAGATTTTGATTGGGCAAGGACAGATACAAGGCCAGTAAGAACCTTGATTTTGCACACAGCCCATGGACCAGGCCTACATGCTACAGCGTAGGCAAGAAAAGCAATAAATGTGCACCAAACAGCTAAGACTAGCTTTTAGCACAAGGTTAGAGACTCAGCCATGTTCAAGAAGTCTTTTTTAAATGCCAAATTACATTTTTAAAAAACAATTCAAAAAAAAATTTTTTAAATAAAAATTAATTCAAGCCCCTTACACCCTATTTCTGTGCTAGATTTCTTCTAGCACAGAAATCTCTACTGTATTCATCCAAAATGCAACGGCCAGTATAAGCTACCAGTTCTCAATTACTAATCAGCTTTGAAATCCTTGACTCTTCTTGGCTGGAATGCTAGGTCTAATGGGGACAAACAGGGTCATCAGCTGTCTCTATCAGAAGTTGCCATTACACCTGGCAACTACCTACAAGTTAGCATCAGCTCATGTCCTTGAAGCAAATGTTGTGTGACTTCAGTACAAGTCTGATATATGCAGGGAAATTTGTAAACTCAGCTCCACTCCCCCTTGGTCCAGTTGCACAATGTCTTGTCCAGATCTACAACTCAGGTAACGTGCAGCCCCTTGCAGAAAGCAAAGAAGAGCCCCCTTTCCCCAGGAGTTCTTAGAAGGAGTGCAGAGAGGGAAATGGACTTACCCTCACACTGTAGTTCAAGCCTATCCCCAACAGGTGCTGCAGAAAGTGCCTGTCCTGCCTGCTCCTGACGGTTGGCTCCCCAGGGCCGGGAAGTGGGGACGCATCGGCGGGGGTTAAGGCGCTTGCCCTGTGCCCCACCAGGTCCGGCTGCGGTGGCAGTGCAGACCCAGCCCGACTTAGGCTGGTTTCTGGGGAAGCCGGGCTGCTGGGAGCCGGCTCCTGGCTTTCCTGGAGCTTCAGCCGGGGCACCTCTTTGGTACCCAGGCAAAAGTTTTTGAGACTCAGCAAAGTGGCCGGGTTGGCCAGCTTCATGCTCGCCATGCGGGGGATCAAGGTGCACAGCGGGGTGGGGCTCTCCCGGGACGGCTGGGTGGCATCTTCCGCCGGCAGGTGAGGTGCCAGGGCGGGGTAGGGAGGCTGCTGTGAGCCCTTGTTCCCAACGGAGCTCCCTCCGGGGCAGCCTTCGTCCAAGGACGTGATGGACTCGTTCCGAAAGCGGCTGTACTTGGCCCTGTGCAGCATCCCGGGGTGTCCGAAGAGTCCTACATACAGCGCGAGTCCTGCCAGGCCGTCCTGGCCGCGGTCTCGCATAGCCTTGGCGGCGCTGAAACAGGATACGGTTGCACTAATCGCCTCCGCGCCCAGGAGATGAACGGTGCGGACATCAGAAGCCTCAACGCCCCGTGCAACTCGAGGCAGCCACCTCTCCAACTCCGCCTGCGCCCTCGCCCGGCTCGGCTCGGCCCCTCAAGGGTGACAGCCCCGGCGGGGCGGGGGGGACGGGGGTGGGGGTGGGAAGCGCCTCCCCAGCTCTGATTCAGCCCCTCCCTGGCCCGGGCAGCGGCCCCCGCTGTCCTCGCCTTGGATTCCTTGCAAGCAGCAGAGCCCGGCCCCAGGCTCCCGGCGGTGGGGCTCGCGCACGGCCAACTCTCAGGCTCGGAACCGGGCCGAGCGGTCCCACCGCATCCCTGCGGGAGCCCAGCAGAAGTACTGAGCGCCCCCACCCCCGGCCTCCCCTTCTGCACGCAGGAACTTTCCAACCTGCTCCCTGCGGCTCCCACGGGGGGGGGCGGGGCAATGACTGGCCTATTAACCCTTTATTTGTTCCAGTGATTGTTCCTTTTAAAACAAAACAAAAAGAAATGTGTGTATGAGCCAAAGGTCCTTCCGCCTGCGTTCGCTGATCCCGCCCGGTCTTGGAAGACCTTGCCTTGCACCCGTTCGGGGCCGCCAGCCGGGAGCGCTAGTGGCCCGCGCCGCTCCGCATTGTTCGCCGACTCGCGGTCGGTCCGTGCTCCTCGGATCCGCTCCCGGCCTGCCCACCCGCGCGCAGCGCTCCCCTCCCTCCCTCCCCGGCTCCTCTCCGAGCTTTTTTTTTTTTTTTTTTCCAGAGGCTCATTCGCTGCAGAAGGCTGAGCTGTGCAGGATGGTGATGAGCAGAGTGTTGAAATTTTTATGAATGAACTTTGCCGAATGAATTTCTCTCTGTGTGCAAGCTAATAAATCTGTGAATGAAGCTGAGAATAGCTGTAATTGACTGACGGTCTCAGGGGGTGCTCGGTTTTTATCCAATCAGGCGGCGGCTCGATGACTCATGCACCATAAATACACTAAACTAGTAGCCGCGAGAAATAAAGCTAGGGGGAGAGACGGGGAGGGGGCAGAGATTTTTATTTTGTGCGGTGCGATGAATGGGTTAAAAGGAAAGGCAGTCTTTACTACAGACAGGTCACCGGTAAGCTGGGGAGCGGCAGGTTAAAAAGATGTGTTTCCTTTCTGGTTGAGGTGGCCCGGAGAGCCAAGCAGAAAGAGCTAAAAATTAGATCCATTGTTCCAGGGATATTAGCACATATGGTTCACAACCCCTGTGGGAAGCTGTGATGCATTTTTCTTAGAAACATAGTTCTTTTTTTATTGATTGTTGGTTCCCTCTTCCGTCTGGTGCAACTTCCTGTACCTATCAAATGCATCCTGAAGACATGATGTCAATTGCAAAGGCTCAGCACACAGGAAGCCAGAGCCGGAGCTGGGGGAAAAGAAATGCACGTTCTTCAGGAATGGAGAAGAAGGAAAACTGCTGAAACGCCGGGGGTGGGGGCTAGAGGGTGGGGTGGAAATCACATATAGGAAGAGATAAGAAAACCTCAGCGGAAGGTGGCGTTTCCCCAAGGGCCACAAGCTCCGGCATCTGGAATTCTGCACTGATTCAAAAATTACAACAAACTGGCAACCGAGGGGAATCAGGGATGCGACCTTCATTATCTTATTGACCCCGAGGCTGCAACAGGCTCACGTGTATTCATGGCTTCGGTCGCCTGAGCTCCCCTGGGATCCAAACACAGGTGCTGAATGAAAGGGCTGCGAGTGGCCAGCGGCGGAGAAGGCATCCTGGTCGCTGGCTTCTGCTCCCCACGGAAATAGCAGCGCACCTTTTCACATCCTGTCTGCCAGGCCTGTTCGGGTGTGTTTTTCCCTGGGAAGGCCTTTCTGCAGTTCATAAATCTTCCCTTCAACCTTTCCTGGCCTCCTTTTCCCTCCCCCACATCTCTCTCCTCTCCGCAAATCTGAGGGAAGTGGCCAAGTCAGCCGGACCCCATGTCCCTGAGGCTGAGAACCAGGCTCTGGGCAGGATTTCACAGTCACCAGTTTGACACCTCTTACTCCTCCTCATTCCTCTTTTTTCTTTCTTCCCCTCCCCTGGGTCTCTTCCTTGCTCTTGCTGTGATGACCCCATGCTATGCTGCCTTGAGAAAGTTACTGCACCTCTCTGTGCTTGCATTTCCTCATCCGTTGGGAGCAGCTAGCTAATGGAGGTGGGAGGAGGGTTTAGGAGATAATCCTACTCCCTGTAAAGTCTTGGCCCACCGCCCCGCACAGTGCTGCCTCACCAAGTGCACACGGGCAGTATAAAGAAAAGCTATGGGAATGGGGGTTGCCTCCCTCTGAAGCTTGTATTCTCACCCCTCCAGCGTAGAGTCTGTGCCCTTCTAGGCCAATTAAAAGGAAAAATTAGCACAAAGAGGGAGAAGCCAAGAAATCCAACGTTGTCCAAAGGACCTGTTTCCTAACAATCGTTAGGGGGCTGCAGGAGGTGAGGAAGACAGGGCCTGGCTGGCTGATGTGACCCCTTACCCAGGACTTCACGACAGCAGGCTTGGGTGCCCAGGGGACCCAGCTCACCCAGGTGGGCGCCATGCTGGCCAGACTCCAGGGGCTCAGGCCAGCCTACATTCCTCAGGAGCAGCGAGTCCTGGGAGGGTTGGGGCTGGGGACCGAGTGGGACCAGGTGCAGTAAGCAAGCAGTCATGGCCACAGTGAGCTGTTTCTCTGTCCCATGCCCAGGAACATGGAGACTCTGGCTCTCCTAGGCAGCCTTGCCAGGACCCTTTCTGAGGGTGAAAGAGATCAGATCTGCAGCTGGGAAGTTGGGGACAGCCTCATAGCCCCAGCCTGCCCATCTGGGCAGCTCTCTCAGTCCCAGCAGCTCAAGACAAGGCTCATCAATTGGGTGGCTTTCTATTCCAGGCAGATGGATGGGCAAGGCAGATGGTTTGCCTTTTCCCAGGACATTAGAACATCTTCTTCAGTTTGTAACGATGAAAATAATATTAATAAGAGCTACTATTTCTGGAACACTTGAAAGTTTAGCTACATACTCATTGGATTATTATATCAACCTTCAGGGGCTGGGACTATGTTCATCACCACCTTACAGATACAGAAACAAGGCTGAGAGCAAGTTTAGTGACTTGGCCAAGGTCCCCTGGCTGTTGGACAATGATGCCTGGATGCCTCAGGCAGCTCAGCCTGACTCCAAAGGCCGTGCTGGTAGTCACTGTGCTCTGCTGCCTCCCAGGGGACCAGAGAGCTCAAGTGCAGATTGCAGGCCTGTGTTGAGGGCTATGGGCATCTCATTGCTCCCTAGAGATCTGAGAAATGACTGAGCAGGAAGAAGAGCTGGGGATTTCTTGGAAGTTCTAGAATTGGTCCACAGCAGGGCCTAGCAGAATATCCTCCCACCTGCTGTTTTTCCTGTATCTACCCCTCCACAACTCCCAGGAGAAAGTGTATTTAGCTCAAAGATAATTTTTCAGGAGCGAAGATAATATTAGAATAGATGGCTCAGGAAACCTTGGTGTCTGGGCCACTGCCCACAAGCTGTGTGCACTTAGCAGGATAATGGAGAAAGAACATTAGCTTGGGAGTTACAGAACCAGCTATGGGATTTTGAGTAAGTTACTTAACCTCTTTCAGACTCATCTTTATTATCTGTAAAATGGGCATGATGATAATAAATAATATCTGCTGAGCACTTACTCTAGACCAAGTCCTGAACTACGTACTTCAAATTTAAGCCTCCTAGCAACTCTATGCAGCATGTGCTTTTTATTTTTTTATTTTATTTTATTTTATTTTGAGACAGAATCTTACTTTGTTGCCCGGGCTAGAGTGCTGTGGCATCAGCCTAGCTCACAGCAACCTCAAACTCCTGGGCCCAAGCTATCCTTCTGCCTCAGCCTCCCGAGTAGCTGGGACTACAGGCATGTGCCACCATGCCTGGCTAATTTTTTCTATATATTTTTAGTTGGCCAATTAATTTCTTTCTATTTATAGTAAAGACAGGGAATCTCGCTCTTGCTCAGGCTGTTCTCAAACTCCTGAGTTCAAAGGATCCTCCCTCCTCGGCCTCCCAGAGTGCTAAGATTACAGGCCTGAGCCACCACGCCCAGCCAGCATGTGTTTTTTATCATCTACTGTCTTTCCCAAGTCATACAGCCAGGGAGTGGCAGGTCCAGTGTAGAACCAAGTGCTGACTCACTGCAGCCCATGCCCTTGTCCACTGTAATACGATCCAGTGCGTGCACAAACCCAACTCCTACTCCATGCTCACTAAATCTTAGTTCTTGCTCCCTCCTCCTCTTTGGAGATCATACCTGTAAAATTCACCCTCAATACTTCATGAGTAAAAACATGCATAATAGATAAAACCATTATTGTCATTAAACCATGAGAGACCCATTCACCCCTCTCATCATCGCTCTTGGAAAACAGAGTTCTGCTTAGACCCTGCGCAGTGTGCCTCCTTTCCTTTGAGACATCCTCCCTCCAAGGGCACCTGCTGTGAATCAATGTGTCAACTTCCTAAGGGACAGCCTGCTCTTGGGTAGATCAGGAAGTTTCTTTCTTTTTTTTTTTTTTAAAACCCAAACACTGAAACTTTAATTGGATCAGAATTCCTTGTCAAGGACCTGGGTAGTATACTTCTTCTTTTTTTTTTTTTTTTTTTTTTTTTTTTTGAGACAGAGTCTAGTGTTGTGGTGTCAGCCTAGCTCACAGCAACCTCAAACTCCTGGGCTCAGGCGATCCTTCTGCCTCAGCCTCCCGACTAGCTGGGACTACAGGCATGCGCCACCATGCCCGGCTAATTTTTTCTCTATATATTTTTAGTTGGCCAATTAATTTCTTTCTATTTATAGTAGAGATGGGGTCTCGCTCTTGCTCAGGCTGGTTTCGAATTCCTGACCTTGAGCGATCGACCTGCCTCAGCCTCCCAGAGTGCTAGGATTACAGGCGTGAGCCACCACACCCAGGCAGTATACTCCTCTTTATGGCACCAATTCCTTCTGCGGGGCACTTCACTAGCCGTCTGTGTAAGTGCCCCAGCTCTCCCCAGATGCGCTATTAGGATGTCTCGAGCATTGTCACATCAGCATTCGATGTCCAGACACACTCGGGGCTCTGCATTCTGGAGCAGCACCACTTTTTCCACCGCCCCCTTATATTCCACACGGGTCTCACGGTCAGCAGTTAAGTCTCCCTTCTCCACCCCCACCAAACCCTGGAAAACCTTAGCGTGCCTTTTTACAGCTCCTCCTCCTCAGCCCCTTTCTTCTGGAAGGCAATCAGTACGGTTAAGCTCTTCTGGAGCTCCTCCCTCTTCCATCACTCATCTTGTTCTTCTCTATCAGTTTGGCGATCTGAGTCATCTCTGATGCCGAGAAGTCCTCCCCTTGGTCTAAGATCTTCCCCATGATGGGACCACTTCTTGTCAGGCTCCTTGCCTGGGGGGCTTCCACGCCAGAGGCCCTGGTGAACTAACTCCCCAGCCAGGCGTCCTACGCAGGCAGGCCACCAGGCATACCTAGGTAGACCTGTTGCCCTTTTAGCCAGCGCTGATGGCACCATCCTTAACTGCCCCGCTCTAGGGGACTGGGTTCTCAAAATCCCCATCGCGGAAGAGGCAGAGGGCTGGATAGCTCTCTTTGTCCAGCTTGTGTTTCTCACTCCGCTCCATGTTCAACTTG